CGTTTAGCTGCTCTTCTACATATAAGTATATGATATATATATGTCGTGAACAAGTACGTCTGCTACTGACCTCCCGGACACTATTTATTTATTTCCATCACAAATATCTCGCTAAAATGGTTCTTTAACCACAATTTTTAATACAGCATATTACAGAAGAAGACTTCATCTACAAAACGTTTATATTCAGTCTGCTGGGACATTTAATTTAGGTTTATTATTAACGAAAACAAATTGTTTTTCACGCTGCCTCATAGGGACACGTGCTAATAGTTACAACTTTAAGCTCAGATTTCTCAAAATTTTGACACATTCGAAATATAATTTAGACCACCATTAAATTCAGTAGACTTTTATTTACAAGAAGTAATATATCTCTGTTTGGGGACTCTCGTGAAGGAGCCCCTTTAAGAACGAGTAGTCTTTATTTTTCATATGTCTATGGGGTCAGTAAACTAAGGCTAGCTGACGCAACCTCTCCCTACTGTTGGCAATGTGCGAGAGAGACAGATATACACGTTCAATATTGTGTCTCTTTCTACTTTTGCTTCAGCGCCGTACAAAAGAACGAGCAGTCTACTTTTTATATGTCTATATGTGTGCTGCCAGTTCTGCCAGACTGCTAGAGTGGAGCGCGTGCGTTTTCTCCCTCAGTGCATATAACTATTTATGAGAATAAAAGGTTTGTTCATTGATGCACCTTGAAGCGCTCCGAGGCGACCGAGCGATCTATAAATGAACACGAGTTCTTTGTCGGAGAACTCGGAGGAGTCGGAGGCATAGAGATATATAAGAATAGAGGAGAAAAGGGGGCGTGATGTGCGGCGGCAGAATTCGCTACGTAACGGGGCATCTATCTTTGTCTGGCAGTTATGTTATTGGTCAAGTCCTACATGAGATTGAATCAACTGTAGGATTCAGGACGAAGAAGTAGCCAATGACGGTTTTGGCAACAAGGACAAATGCCCCGTTACACTTAATTATGTTGTCGCTGCCGCTAAAGGGCTAGTAATGCTAGTATTGCGCTTTTCCCCTCTATTCTTGTACCTCTATGGTCGGAGGCCTCCGAGACATCTTTATACTATATAGGTTCACTAACTATAACTGCTCATTGTTCAGAAACATCAGTAAAAAGCGGTGAGTATACCTATATAGTATAAAGACGTCTCAGAGGCTTCCGAGTTCTCCGACAAAGAACTCGTGTTGATTAATAGATCGCTCGGAGGCCTCGGAGCGCTCTGAGCGCTCCAAGGTGAATAAATGAACAAACCTAAAATATGACAACAGTGTTTTGGATCTCCACGATTCAAGAAGTTCCTTAATTTTGTCTAATGACAGTACTTAATGACGCGGCTTGTTAAAATTTTAGACCACCTTTAAGCCTTAGGCCGTGGTCACATGGAGAGCGTAGCGCGTGCCGCGTAACCATTACCTCGCGTACTTTACCTCTCTCTCACTCTCATGGGCTAAAACGGTTACGCGGTACGCGCTACGCTCTCGCGGTGTAATCCGCAATCATCACCAGCAGTTGCATATGTGAGACGTTACAACGTTCTGTAACTGCTGGTGGTGATTGCGGATTACACCCCATGTGCCCGCGGCCTTAGCTTTAGTAATCGAACACATCTAGTTGTAACCTTCCAGGCTTCTTATGAAAAATTGTCTACTTTTTCAGTGATGCAAAATATTAATCATCTAAAATAGTTACGAATCCATATTGAAATAAACTTTAAGATTGAAACAAGAATTTTAATAAAAGTTGCCTGAATAGTTCATTGTTATCTAAATAACGCTTTATCCATTTGACTGGTTTTTATACAAGGTTTTAAATACTTCCTAACTGATTCAAAATGTCTTTAGCTGATAAACTTTTAGCAGATCTTGAAGATGATGCTGATATTCAAGAAGAAGAAATACTAGAACAGTTTTTCCCAGCATCCTTGTCGTCATCTAAATTAACAGAGAAAGGTGAGCTTATTTTTTTTCCTCATTTACAAACCATCTACTGTTAACTGTAAATTTGAACAGATATAATGACCATGTATGTTTACCAATAACATTAAATTTGGCAGAAATTAAAGTTGATTCAATTAAAGAACTTGCAAAGTTGCGAGACTCACCATTAATGCGAAAAGTCACATCCAGTATTGACAGTTATAGTAAAATTACAAGAAAATCTGTGGACATTGTTGGTCCAGTAGAATCTGACCCAGAATATCAGTTAATTGTTGAAGCTAATAATTTGGCTGTTGAAATTGATACTGAAATTGGTTTGTTAGACAACAGCAGTCTGTCTTATCGATTATACTGCACTATTATATTAATAGAAAAATATCCTTTTAGCTACTATACATAGATTTACAACAAGTAAATACTCCAAAAGATTTCCAGAACTTGAATCCTTAGTTGTTGAACATTTAGAGTATTTAATGACTGTCAAAGAATTAGGTAATGACTTAGATAAGGCTAAAAACAATGAAATTCTACAAAAGTTTTTAACTCAGGCTACTATTATGGTTGTATCTGTAACTGCTTCTACAACACAAGGGTGATTATCTTGTTTTTATTAATAACTTTTTAAATTTCATTTTAATACGTTTTTTCTGCAGTGCCCATTTATTAAGAAAAAGTAAGTCAATTGAAGGTAAAACAATAAATTTTTTAAAACGTCAATTTTAACCCTACTACTTATGAAAGGTAGTTATGAGGATGTCTTTCGATTTAGATTTCTACTTTTGAAAATAGTAATATTGTTAACTCAATATAAACAAACTTTAAGCTATACGAATCTCAACTTTTTGAAAACTCGCGCGATTAGGTGAACAAGTACGTCTGCTACCCACGTGACCTCCTGACCTCCCGGAGACTATTTATTTATTTCCATCACAAATATCTCGCTAAAATGGTTCTTTATCCACAATTTTTAATACAGCATATTACAGAGGAAGACTTCATCTACAAAACGTATATATTCAGTCTGCTGGGACTTTTAATTTATATTTATTATAAACGAAAACAAATTGTTTTGCACGCTGCCCCATAGGAACACGTGCTAATAGTTACAACTTTGAGCTCGGATTTCTCAAAATTTTAACCCATTCGAAATATAATTTAGACCACCATTAAATTCAGTAGACTTTTATTTACAAGAAATAATATATCTCTGTTTGGGGACTTTCGTGAAGGAGCCCCCTTAAT